ACCAGAACTAAAAATTTTATGTTTTTTTAGGCATGCTGACACTGCATATAATTAAAAGTGCTTAAGTACTAATTTTTATTGTGTATATCTCATACTTAAAAACATCAAATAAAATCTCTGATTGGAAGAGTATTGTTTCCTGTCACAATACATCCCTATTAACCCTTATACATAGAAAAGAGAAATCACAACAATGACTTCTGTACTCTTATGTAGAGAAGGTCTGACAGGCTTCAAAATCAAGCTAGACAAAGGGTCTATATGTGGAGCAAACATATACAATAAGACATCCAGTATGCAGAGTAACATGTCACTCAATATATTTTTTAACTCTCCACATTTATTTAGAGATCTCTATTAACAAGATGCTTTTAAATTTTCTTCTTTTTGGCTGATATGCATTATACATTTTGTAAGTAGAGATCTCTAAATAAATGTGGAGAGTTCAAAGCTATGTTGGTGACATATTATGTTGCATACTGAATGTCCTATTGTATTGTTTTCTCTGCAAGCAGACCCTCTGTCCATCTCTTGATGAAAAAATGATTTTGCAGCGCATTGGGCATTCCCTGCATACAAGTCATTGTTGTGATTCCTCTTTTCTATGTATATGGGAATATGGGTTAATAGAGATGTATTATTACATGAATGGATATCAGCCAGTTTTTTTAATGTGATAATGCTTTTAAGTATAAGATGTAAACAATAAAAATTATTACGGATTTACTTTTAATTATATATGGTTAATTTTAGATCAGCATGTCTACAAAAAATTCCTAACTTTTGGTTCTGAATATACTGTATGTATACAAACAATACATTTGGTATACAATAACATACATACAGATTGTGCCGCTCAAGACCCCTGCTTCTTGCCTGCAGATGGCCCTGTGCACAATAGATTTAACTGTATAAAATGATGGAAAATCATAGGCATGGGCAATATGAACATTTAACCCAGGTGCCTGATACCCATAGAGTGTGAAGACAGTAGAAATAGTCATATCAGAGCTTCATGCAAGCTCTGTATAGGCGTGCAACTACCATACTGACAATTCCATTTCTGAAAAGATATTAGTCAGGCTGCAAAGTTGACAGCAGCCTACAAAAAGAAGTAGTTTAATAGCAAAAGTAATCTAAATGACCTAAGTGATCTAATAATGACCTTTTATGGTCAGTATTCAGCCCATGTATGGGCATCTTTAGTCTGAAAAGGTTTAACTCAATAACCAATATTGAATTTGCATAAGGCCCTTATAGCCATACTAGTGCACTTATAACAACACAGGTGAGTACTGAATGTCATTTGTTTTAACAGTCGAGTTTGCAGGACAAGCTTTTCTGAAATCCACTCCCCTCTTTTGGTCCAAGCTATAGTGCATAAGCAGGAGAAAGAGAACTGATCTCCCATCAGCTTGTCCTGAAATATCTACCACTGGCACAAATAAAGTGTCATATATAGTACTAAAGTGTAGGTATTTGGCAAGCCAGAACAAAATTTACACCATAGATAGAAATAACGGGATATTCCAGAGGATGCAGGGAGATTGCACAATCTTAATTTATTTGCACAACTTACCAGTCTCTACCGCTGGCTCATTGCAGCCTGAACAGACAGCTGCTGCATAGTAAAATCACTGCAGTTTACAGTGTGACAGCTGTCTCTTTATATGTGAACAAGTCCTTCCACAAGAAGCCTGGTGCACTGAAAATTACAAGCTTAGCTTAGCTCTTCTAAGCTTGTACATCTTTTCTTTTGTTTTACTGAGCCTATAGAGGGCTGTCCTCACTACAGCCCCCCAGCACCCTCTGCGGGACATACTATATCCCTTGTCAGGGGAGGGATTTGGTTCTTCTTACTGTAGTGACAGTTGAAAGGATTGTGTCTTCCCTGCTGTGTGCCCCCCACAGACGGGTTTTTGGGAGCACCCACCACAAAATAGCTACGACTTAGAGCTAGCCAGAAGAAACCAATTTGTTCTGGCCAGAGAGAACACCATATCATGAGTGACCAACAAGTTGTGCCCTAAGACCAAGCTAGGGGAGCAGAGGGACAGCAATCTGGGGGACAACTATCTGCATGTGAAATTCTTAAGGTTGAAGAACATAAGTCTAGTTATTTCCAATAAATGACCTAGGTGAAGTCTCTGGCATTGTGATGCCTTCTGGGATATGTAAGTTGTCGATTTTAACGGCTACAGACAACAACGGCAAATGCAAAGATCAGCAGGATCTACCACTACTACACAAAACCCAGGTTTGGATTGTGGTCATTACAGGTGCTCACAGGTATCAGTAACCACATCTCACATAAATATAAAAACATAAATGGCCGTACGCTGGTGCAACCTACTAAAAGCTAGGTTTAGGTAAAACCCCATGCATAAAAATGTTTACTAGCTTCTGTGTCCTCAAACATAAACTTCCCAGAACTTCCTCATGGCCAGAAAGCTTCAGGTGCCATGCACAGCAGCCAATGCAAGTCCTTTTCATATTTGGGGAAAATATGCCATACACGCATGTGCAGATAAAGACTCATGCAGAAGCGATCAGTGTTTACACAAATAGGGGCATGTACAGACATTCACTTGTAGTAGCAGCTGTACACGGCACCTGAGGCTCCCCGGGTGCAAGAACGCATCAGATATTTACACCCGTGGACACAGAAGCTATTAAATATTTACAGTCATGGCCGAAATTGTTGGCACCCTTGATATTTCTCCAGGAAATCATGTATTTCTCACGAAACGTATTGCATTAACACATGTTTTGCTATACACATGTTTATTCCCTTTGTGTGTATTGGGACAAAACAAAAAAAGGGAGGAAAGAAAGCAAATTCGACATAATGTCACACAAACCTCCAAAAATGGGCTGGACAAAAGTATTGGCACCCTTTCACAACTGCGGATAAATAAGAATGTTACAAGCATGTGATGCTCCTGTAAACTCACCTGGGGCAAGTAACAGGTGTGGGCAATATAGAAATCACACCTGAAAGCAGATAAAAAGGAGAGACGTTCACTTAACCTTTGCATTGTGTGTCTGTCTGTGCCACACTAAGCATGGACAACAGAAAGAGGAGACGAGAACTGTCTGAGGACCTGAGAACCAAAATTGTGGCAAAATATCAACAATCTCAAGGTTACAAGTCCATCTCCAGAGAACTAGATTTGCCTTTGTCCACAGTGCGCAACATTATCAAGAAGTTTGCAACCCATGGCACTGTAGCTAATCTCCCTGGTCGTGGACGGATGAGGAAAATTGATGAAAGATTGCAACGCAGAATAGTCCGGATGGTGGATAAGCAGCCCCAAACATGTTCCAAAGACATTCAAGCTGTCCTGCAGGCTCAGGGAGCATCAGTGTCAGAACTATCCGTCGACATTTAAATGAAATGAAACGCTATGGCAAGAGACCCAGGAGGACCCCACTGCTGACACAGAGACATAAAAAAAGCAAGACTACAGTTTGCCAAAATGTACTTGAGTAAGCCAAAAGCCTTCTGGGAAAACGTCTTGTGGACAGATGAGACCAAGATAGAGCTTTTCGGTAAAGCACATCATTCTACTGTTTACCGAAAACGGAATGAGGCCTACAAAGAACAAAACACAGTACCTACGGTAAAATATGGTGGAGGTTCAATGATGTTTTGGGGTTGTTTTGCTGCCTCTCTGGCACTGGGTGCCTTGACTGTGTGCAAGGCATCATGAAATCTGAGGATTACCAAAGGATTTTGGGTCGCACTGTAGGGCCCAGTGTCAGAAAGCTGGGTTTGCGTCCAAGATCCTGGGTCTTCCAGCAGGACAATGACCCCAAACATACGTCAAAAAGCACTCAGAAATGGATGGCAAAGAAGCGCTGGAGAGTTCTGAAGTGGCCAGCAATGAGCCCAGATCTAAATCCCATTGAACACCTGTGGAGAGATCTTAAAATTGCTGTTGGGAAAAGGTGTCCTTCCAATAAGAGAGACCTGGAGCTGTTTGCAAAGGAAGAGTGGTCCAAAATTCCGGGTGAGAGGTGTCAGAAGCTTATTGATGGTTATAGGAAGCGACTGATTTCAGTTATGTTTTCCAAAGGGTGTGCAACCAAATATTAAGTTAAGGGTGCCAATACTTTTGTCCAGCCCATTTTTGGGGGTTTTGTGTGACATTATGTCATATTTGCTTTTCTGCCTCTGTTTTATATTTGTTCCAATACATACAAAGGGAATAAACATGTGTATAGCAAAAACATGTGTTAATGCAATACCTTTTTTGTGTGAAATACTTGATTTTCAGGAAAAATATCAAGGGTGCCAACAATTTCGGCCATGACTGTACATGCATAAGGCCTAAAACTGATTTGGAACTATTCATGGGCTTGGGCTTCTTATAACTCTGGAACTCCTGTAGCAAGACTTACCCACCATCTTCCAAGCTCTACTCCCCAACAGAGGTATTGTGATGCCAAGCCCAGAAATTCCATGCAGAACAATGAAAACAGTTATGGTAGGTGGCAAGTAATTGAAAACAATAAAAAGTGTGGGAAATTTACCAAAACTTCTATATTTACCTATGTGACCACAGTTGCTTTATCCTTCACTGTGCCCTCAACAAAGAATGCAAGTAGCACTGACTTTGCTTATTTATAATGTACAATGAAGTAAAAAAAACAGCAGTGAGAGTGAGATTCATTCTAATGATATTATTAATTGTACAGAGCTGGAAAGTCGGGTGCTGAGATCTCGCTGCTGGAGTCCCCAAGACACCTAAGGAGATAGTGAATGATTGCAATCTTAAATAAGAAGCAGAAATACAGGGCAGAGTGGATGAAAAAAAAACTTTGTATCCTAAATCTGTCAAAAGCAGGAGTTACTTCAACAAATCAATGGCCAAGTGCACAAAACTACTACATTAACTGAGTGCCCGTACAAAAAATATCATTCAGTATAAAAATAGATCAACAATTTACATTAAGCAATCTATTACAATGACTATCAATACCGCTATTTTACACATTTACAGAATCTCCTGCAAAATTAACTGAAGTTTCTCTATCTCCTTTGGCTGTGGCTTGGCCCACTTCTTCTTTATATATTGGATTTCCACTGTTCCAGATGCTTTGGCTAAAGCCAGACCCATCAGATTATTGTTTTTTTTCTGGTTCACCGAAAACTGACATGCTCAGTACCCTGGGCAGAACAAAAAAGATTTTCCATTAAATGTGGAAGAGATATTGTTGTCACATATCAGATATCAACAGGTTATCATTTACTAAAAAGTTGGAAGTAAAATATAACTAAAGTTTCTATTCATTTTGGATAGAGCAGGAAATGGTGAAAACCATGGTTAGGGTTTTCAATCTGTCCCCTCTTGGAAAATTTTCCTTTCACTTCCTTATCTATAGATGCAACAGGAAGCAAGAGAAACTTCCTCAAAAATTTCTTAGACTTGACTGATGATAGTTGTCACCAGGACAAGCGTTCCGATTGGAAGATTTCTGATCTATTCTTGTTCTGTTGGCAACTTGAGCATTTTGGTTTCTCCTTTACTTTCAGTCCCAGTGGTCACAGTACAAATCGAGAGAGTATATTTCCCTAACAAGGATACACAGCAAGAAATGCATGACAGGGGTTTTAACTACTCAATATAAATAAACCACTAAATTAAAAGTACTAGCTTCAGATACAATTTATCAATCTCAATACAAAAATGGTGGACATATTATTCTTATGTACTATTCTTATGTAAACATACGAGCGGCTTTGTCCGCAAATGGCCATAGGCAATTACTTTTTTTTTCAGAACATAACAGGGAATTGGGGAACTGGTGCTATCTTTTTATTTTCCACAGACTGACTATACATCATTTCCACCGGAGGTATTTGAGCCTAATGATGACTATTTCTGCTATCATGGTTGAACATCTTCATTTTTTTGCCCCCCCTGTCTTCCATGACTTATTTTTTACCCCTTTTGAGATAGACCTGCAATACATATATTTAGGGTCCTTTTTCTGTATTGAAGCATAGTGTGTGTTCCGATTTATGCCCTTTACACCTGCTTGTGGGAGATATCTGTTCTCTGCGTTTCTGGATGATCTCCTGGGCTCTCTCCATCCTATCTGATGTTACCATATATGAGAATACTGGATCACTGACATCTTCACACAGATTGTTAAGCAGCTTTAATCCTCCTTAGGAAGAAGGTATAATTTCCTGTGAAACATGTTGAGGAGTTGCTGAGGAAATGTTATCTACTTTTGAGTTGAATTTGTTTAGAATGAAAGCTCCAGGATTATTGTAATGCAGGATCAGACTATTGTATGCTAGCAAGTGCTGCTCTTGTTATGAGCTTTTTATATCTATTTGTACTGTTTTTAATAATAACTTGTGTGTAAATAAAGAATGTCGGGGGAGGGGGTAGTTATTTTCCCGTTATATTTTTATAAGAAGTGTCTTGGCTGTTACACTTTGGGGCACCTTAAAAGTCCAGATGTAGAGTTTTTCTCTTTTATACATATCATTATATTCATGGATGTGGGCCCCTTTTATTTTCCCAGGGCCAGAACCATCAACGGCTTTTTCTAGTCTATGAATTGTCAATGTAAATGTAAACCCAGTCACTGAACTTGTATATACACTTTAACACATTATAGTTGACTTGAACTCAGAAAGTGAAGATTTGCTATGTAATAGGTAACATCTAAAAATACTGCACTTCCTGGTTCTTAAAGCGATACTAAAGCATTCCTTGCATTGAGGAAAAAGTTTTATATTTGTCTGTGAGCCCCCTTCCCTGTGTGAAGGGGAAGAGAGGGGTGAATAGATCCAGTGCTGTGCATGGCTAAGTCCCGCTGTGTAAGTCTATGGATCGCAGCACTCAAGTAATAATCTATTGAAACCCTTTTCAGTCAGAATTCCATGGAACCCTAGGGTCTCTGCAGAGATTGCTAGGAGTTCCTTGAGTATTTGTGCCCCTCAGATAAGTTACCACTGACACCAAAGTTATATATTCTACAACTCAATAGAAAAAATGGATGAGAAATCTCCCCTGGGTGTTGTGGCATTGAGGCTGTTGTTTAAAGAAATAGTTTGACATCTGTGCCAAAGATGAGGTAGCCATCTCTTCCTATTATATTGACCTATAGAGAGGATTAACACACAAAGCTTCCAGAATCTATCTACACTGGAATATCCATCTTTCCTGCCTAAAGTATTGCATTTAGAATCCATATGTATCGGAGTATCCATCTTTATCTGGCCACATTACTTTATATAAGATGGCCACATAAACAAACCTCTTATGAGAATGAATCTGTTGAATACGGATTATGGATTGATGTTTGTAATTCTTTTGTCACCTGCATTTGCTAATTCCATCTTTTGTTGGACAAATTGTCTCATCATCTGTTGTCCAGCTGGTCTCTCTTCTTGCTCCGGTGCCCGCCCCATGGGAACCCCTATGCTATCTAAATACGCCTAAATAAGTGATTGCTGCTGTCTCATTGACTCACGATTCTGTCTTATAACTGCATACTCTGTGAATTATCAAAATTTAGTTGTATTCATACCAATTAGGTGGACAGTGAGTCAGCAGCCAAAATTCGCTAGAGAATTATGTGTATATTGTTTTTAACAAATATTATTGACTTGATCAATAAGCTGTTTTAATATGATTGTAACTAAACATTAGATTTTATGAATTGTGGTTAAGTTTCCTTTCATTGCCAGTGAAGTCCAGTATGTTTCCATTTTTATTTCTGCATACACTGACACCAATGACCATTTCAGCTATATTTAAGGGGGCATTTTTGTGAACACTATTGTAAGGAAGTTCTTTTCTCACTGACCACCAAACTACAGTGCACCTAGAAAGTATTCACAGCGCTTAACTTTTACCACATTTTGTTATGTTACAGCCTTACTCTAAAATGGGTTAAATTAATTTTTTTCCTCAACATTCTACAAACAATACCCGTAATGACAACATGAAAGAAGTTGGTTTTGAAATCTTTGCAATTTATTAAAAATAAAAAACAAACACATGTACATAAGTATTCACAGCCTTTGCCATGACTTGTGGGAAATTCAGTTGATTGGACATGATTAGGAAAGGCATACACCCATCTATATAAGGTCCCACAGTTAACAGTGCATGTCAGAGCACAAACCAAGCCATGAAGTCCAAGGAATTGTCCGTAGACCTCCGAGACAGGATTGTATCAAGGCACAGAATCTGGGGAAGGGTACAGAAAAATTTCTGCAGCATTGAAGGTCCCAATGAGCACAGTGGCCTCCATCATCCGTAACTGGAAGAAGTTTGGAACCACCCTAGAGCAGGCTGCCCAGCCAAAATGAGTGATTGAGGGAGAAGGGCCTCAGCCAGGGAGGTAACCCAGCACACAATGGTCACTCTGAAAGAGCTCCAGCATTTCTCTGTGGAACCTTCCAGAAGAACAACCGTCTCTGCAGCACTCCACCAATCAGGCCTGTATGGTAGAGTGACCAGATGGAAGCCACTCCTCAGTAAAAGGCAATTTATATAGATTTCTTTATCATAGCTGCATGTTCACAATACTGTCCTGTGAGCTGAACATATAATTATTAGTAGTGGTTCCCTACGATCTGAAAGTCATTTCAAGGATTCCTCACTTTTAAAAAGTTGAGAAAGTCTGCCCTATTGTATTCCCCTTCAGTCCTCCCTGGGCAGCTACATAATAATGTATGTAAAAAGATGAGGGGTGGGAGCTGGGTCAGCACAGAGATCAATTAGATACTTCCAGAATAGGATAGGTTTGTGATATGCAAGGATGGAGGGTTCTGTGCTCCTTACACATCATTGCCCTCTCCTCCTCTGAGAGTGCCTTATTACCCTCTGTACTGGACCAGCATCCCACTCACCCCCTTCTTTTTTATGAAAAGCTGCTGGAGGAGGAGCAAAGGGAGTGTCCCCCAAGCAACGGAGCTTTCACAGGTAAATAACATACATAAAATATGTAACATGCAAATATAATCTTATAAAAAGATTTGTGTTGAAATGAACAATCTCACAGCAGGATTTCTGAATTTTGTGGGAAAAATAGGGGGGAAATGAAAATGGAAAATACAAAAAATGTAGAGAGAGAGAGAGAAAGTGAGAGAAAGGGAGAAGAGGAAAAGGAAAGAGTTTAATGTATAACCAACCATTTAATGTACACTTACTGGTCAGATGTTATGGATTCTTTGGCGATTGGCTGTAAGTCATTTTGTAACAAGTCCCATATGTGGATAGAAGATGCTGCATCCAGGACAAAAAACAAGGTTGGTCTGGTCAATGACCATTGTAGTGCAATAATGGGCTGGCCACCAGTAGTGTCATTCCACTGCATTACTGGATACTCTGCACTCATCGTGTGTAACCGTATACAGCCATCTGTACATCCTGCCTTTAAACAGCACAGCAAAGAAAGATAAATAAACATTTCTGCAGTGGATTAACTGTAACTAAATTTCACAAAAAGCAAATATAAACTGTATAAAAAGATGAAAATTATCGCCTACCCCCCCCCCCCATGTACTTTTACTTCACTAACGCTAGCCATACATGGGCAAGTCAAGAAATAACAATATCTTCACAGCTTGCAAGATCTTCTTACTGTTTACGTTAGTTCCCTTTTCATGACCCAATTATTAAAGCAGGACTTCACCAAAAAGGGGAAGATCTGCTGGTCTGCATCCCCCCCCCCCACTGCCACATTTGGCACTTTATGGGGGGAGTGGTTTTGACAGGTACACACTCCTACTTCCAGTTAGATGTGGAAATCTGAGCAGGAAGTTCGTGTCCCCCCCTCCTACCATTACAGCCTTCTGGGAAACTTCACAATGTGCAATGCACTTTGCGCATGCATAGTGGGAAACCGGCTGTGAAGCCGCAAGGCTTCTCTGCCAGTTTCTCTTACTTAAGATGCTGGCCCCTGAACCCAAAGCTGATTGAAGAATCAGCTAAGGTGAGAACATCGCTGATCCCTAGACAGGTAAGTGTCCTTACAATTAAAGTCAACTGCTACAGGATTTATATCTGCTGACTTTTAATTTTTTTTGAGGGAGCCTGGAACGTCGCTTTAACTTTATTCTGCTCATGATCTGTTTATTAACATTCCCTAGCATGATGCTCTGTGCAGACGTTGCATGACTAATTGGCTTCCCCTTTGAGAGCAAAAAGCCAACACTTTGTATGGCTGTTCACTCCCATTGGTCACTGATAGTCTGGATCCCCACTGATGATTGGGAACCAGTAAGAATGGCTCCCAATCATGTGACTGCTTTGTCAGACTATAATAAAAACAGAGTTGTATGGAAATTGGTCAGAGTTAACTGAGACATGCTGCCAGTGCTGAACTTGGTCTGGGCATCTAGGCATCAATGACCTTTGGACACTAAATAGTTAAATCCATTATCGAGACAGGAAGTAAAGAAATATCTCCCTAATGGGTCACAAATAAAAGAAAACAAAACAAGAAAAAACAACTTGTTTTCATTATTGGCATTTCTACCTAAAGCTAATTTAAAAACGTTTGGCTTTGGATATACTTTATTATTATAATGTATTTTTTATAATTTAAAAAAATATAAGATTATGCCGGCTGTATATCACTGCTCTACTAACTAGATTTTAGTGCAACAACTATAATTACTTACCAAAAATGCTGGCACTGCAAATGGTGAGAAATCAATTGCAGTGACTTTTGATGGCCTCAGCTTGCTGTGCAGAGATGTGTATTGCACTGGTGGTTCTATCAATCCATACCTTGTTCCGTGGGTTAATATTCCCTGTTGGTAAATAAAATTTTAAATGTATAAGCTCACTTTTGCAGCTGAAAAATACAAAAAAAAACACATATGTGCACACCGATGCATGATGCATGACTTTATATGTATAAATGTGCTTACTTTTCTATATGTCTCATTCTTCTATACACTGTACTTTAAATGGCATATACTTTGGCATTCATTTATTTAATGTCAACACATGTGTAGACAGGCTTAAAGAGACCCTGTTCTTCTTACCATTCAGATCAAAATGACAATGTCTGTGTAAAGGTGACCCTGGACCACTTTATATGCAACTCTCCAGCACTCCACTGCAACTCCTTCAGTTTCTGCTGTTGAAAAGTACCTAGTGCATACAGATATGGAAGAGCATGTGGCTTCCTCCCATGAAGCAGTGATTGATAAGGCCCAAACATAGTCATATGATGAAGGGGGTGTCAACTCATCCTGTAAGCTTCTACACTAGCCAGCAACCAGTATTTTGGAGTGGATACCAACTAGGCAGAATTTCCAAAGAAAGGATGTAAAGACAAGTACTTCTGAATCAGTGGGTGGGCTTTAAAGGATGTCCCAACTTTCGCAGCCAGACTGAGATAATACCTACTTTATATTTGTTACATTTCCACATTCCCATTGCCGTATACAAGGGCTGAATGTTGGTCGGTTTCTGTTGAACTGGCTGATACTGCCCGATATTTGGCCTGTGTGCACGGGGCTTTAACAAAAGGTTAAACGATTATGAGGTGGGCATCTCCAATGTATGCTAATGAGAATTGGAATAATGGGCAGATCATGCTGACCTGAGAAGCACCCCTACTCAGTTATGACACCTTCTCTTCAGAAACATCAAAAAGGTGTATTTAAAAAAAAAACTGTGTGAATAGGAACACATAATAAACATATAGTGGAGATTTTTCATATTTGGCTAAAAAAGCAGAAATACACTTTAAACAAGGACAAGGTGACAGGGACTCTTTCAGGTAAACAAGATGAAAGAAAATCTCCTGCATACCTGAGCTTTAGATAACAATCACTGTGGTAGACTAAGAAAAGTAACCATTGTGCCAAGTTGATGTGCATCTGGTAGCCATTCTGTCAATATATAAGCTCTGTATGTTGAAAGATTTACTATGGTAACCAACAAAATTTCTAAAAGGGTCTGGACCTGACCAGAAAGGCAAAGTTATCAGAAAAAATGTGGGTAATAGGAAAGGCAGCTAGATATAAAAATACAGAAGACAATAAAAAAGTGAGAGAACACAATACAAAAATATTATAAGTTATAAATAAAAAGTGAAATATTTAACCTGAAATAAAAAATAAAATGGAAATCCTTCTGTACTCATCTCTATCATATAAATTCAGGTGATCATCATTAGAGGGTTTATTACAACGTAAGGTGAAATGCACGTTTCTGTACCGCAACATGAAAGACATGGTTAACTTACAATGTCTGTTCCAATGACAAAATGGTTGGAGTCTTGCGGAAAGAACTTAATATTCATAGTTTCAGGTAGTCCCAGAGTCAGGACATCTTTTCTAAAAAATCTAGAAAATAAAAACAATCACTGGCAAGAACAGAAAACAGCTAACAGTAAATGAAAAAAGTTTATATGCCTTTTTGTCAATTTTATTTTTGAATTTATTTTTACAGGTTGCAAGTACAGTGGGGATCGAAAGTTTGGGCACCCCAGCTAAAAATTTGTATTAATGTGCATAAAGAAGCCAAGGAAAGATGGAAAAATCTCCAAAAGGCATCAAATTACAGATTAGACATTCTTATAATATGTCAACAAAAGTTAGATTTTATTTCCATCATTTACACTTTCAAAATAACAGAAAACAAAAAAATGGCGTCTGCAAAAGTTTGGGCACCCTGCAGACTTTATAGCATGCACTGCCCCCTTTGCAAAGCTGAGACCTGCCAGTGTCATGGATTGTTCTCAATCATCTCTGGGAAGACCAGGTGATGTCAATCTCAAAGGTTTTAAATGCCCAGACTCATCTGACCTTGCCCCAACAATCAGCACCATGGGTTCTTCTAAAGCTGGAGAAGGCTATAAGAAGATAGCAAAGCGTTTTCAGATGTCAATATCCTCTGTTCGGAATGTAATTAAGAAATGGCAGTTATCAGGAACAGTGGAAGTTAAAGCAAGATCTGGAAGACCAAGAAAAATATCAGACAGAACAGCTCGCAGGATTGTGAGAAAAAAAATTCAAAACCCACGTTTGACTGCACGATCCCTCCAGAAAGATCTGGCAGACACTGGAGTTGTGGTACACTATTCCACTATAAAGAGATACTTGTACAAATATGGTCTTCATGGAAGAGTCATCAGAAGAAAACCTCTTCTACGTCCTCACCACAAAAATCATCGTTTGAACTTTGCAAATGAACATATAGACAAGCCTGATGCATTTTGGAAACAAGTTCTGTGGACCGATGAGGTTAAAATTGAACTTTTTGGCCGGAATGAGCAAAGGTACGTTTGGAGAAGAAGGGGCACAGAATTTAATGAAAAGAACCTCTGTCCAACTGTTAAGCATGGGGTTGGATCAATCATGCTTTGGGGTTGTGTTGCAGCCAGTGGCACAGGGAACATCTCATGAGTAGAAGGAAAAATGGATTCAATAAAATTCCAGCAAATTGTGGATGGTAACTTGATGCCATCTGTGAAAAAGCTGAAGTTAAAGAGAGGATGGCTTCTACAAATGGATAATGATCCTAAAAACACCTCGAAATCCACGGGGGATTACATCAAGAGGCTTAAACTGAAGGTTTTGCCATGGCCTTCACAATCTCCTGACCTCAACATAATTGAAAATCTATGGATAGACCTTAAAAGAGCAGTGCGTGACAGACAGCCCAGAAATCTCAAAGAACTGGAAGACTTTTGAAAGGAAGAATGGGCAAAGATACCTCAAACAAGAACTGAAAGACTCTTGGCTGGCTACAAAAAGCGTTTACAAGCTGTGATACTTGCCAAAGGGGGCAGTACAAGATATTAACTCTGCAGGGTGCCCAAACTTTTGCAGACGCCATTTTTTTGTTTTCTGTTATTTTGAAAGTGTAAATGATGGAAATAAAATCTAACTTTTGTTGACATATTTTAAGAATGTCTAATCTGTAATTTGATGCCTTTTGGAGATTTTTCCATCTTTCCTTGGCTTCTTTATGCACATTAATACAAATTTTTATCTGGGGTGCCCAAACTTTTGATCCCCACTGTATATTAAGCGATGTGTTATATCATTTATTCATTTACTTGCCTAAAAGGTTTCTTTTTTCTAAGGCCCAGAACCACCTTTCTTTTAAGGGCCCATTCCCAAGTATGCATTGTGGTGACGTGCATTACTGCAACACAGAGTAAAGCTCCATATGCGTCAGTGCTGTATAGTTACATTACATTAGTAAATGTAATGATGCTGTGGATGAGAGACGTGGGCATACCTATCAGTGGCTGCACTGTACTAACACACAGGTGCTTTTGCACATAGTAGCCCCAGACATTGCCTTACATAGGCTATCAAATACCAAAACTGCAAATTATTTAAAATACATAGCCATGAACTGCACAGGTAAGAATATATTTTATAGTATGGTGGGGTATCAGCATTTTAAACATAACTTTATTGGGTTAGCTGCAGAATATCTTTAAAGCCCAACTCTGTGCCTCACCCCTGAAACCAATAAACCGTTGTCCACTCCCACAAAAAATGAACCCCCCTTGCAACCCCATGCTCACGCTTTCCGCTACGCATGTGTATTTTTTTTGTCTTCAGTGGCACTGAAGAAAACAATACAGCGATTACAGTACAGCGTGAATGACTGTTGTGGTGATGACACTGAGAAAGGTGGGTCCATAAAGTCCTGCACTCACAACATGTTCTCAATCTCCTGTGTTGATTAACCATTTGCCAACCGCGCTATAGCCGAATAATGGCTACAGCACGGTTGTCCAGTTCTAGGAGAGCGTCATATGACGTGCTCCCAGAACACACCCTCCTGTGCGCCCCCAGCGGCGTGCACCCGGCTTTCTCTGTGATCGCATGTCCTATGGACACAGCTGATCATGTGATGTGGTAAAAGGCCAATCCCAGCGGCCTTTTACCACGTGATCAGTTGTGTCCAATGACACAGCAGATCACTGGGTAAATCCACTTGCCGGTTATTGGATGCACTTTCCTTACGCTTTCACAGCGTGAGGAAAATACTGCCATTAACCGGCAATTGTCAGAAAACAGATCGGCACTGATCATCAGGGCACTGAAGATCAGTGCCACCCACCTGTACCCAGCGGTGCCACCCACCTGTACCCAGCAGTGCCACCCAGCAGTGCCCATCAGTGGCACCTATCAGTGCCCATCACTGCTGCGTATCCCTGCCAGCTGATCAATGCTGCCTATCAGTGCCACCTATCCATGCCACCTCATCGTTGCCGCCTATCAGTGCCCATCAGTGCTGCCTATCAGTGCAGCCTCATCAATGCACATCAGTAAAGGAGAAAAATTACCTGTTTGCAAAATTTTATAATAGAAACAAAGAAAACGTTTTTTTTATTTTTAAAATTTTTTGCAATTTTTTTTGTTTTAAAAAATAAAAAACACCCAGTGGCAATTAAATACCACCAAAATAAAGCTCTATTTGTGTGAAGAAAAATGCTAAAAATTTCATATGGGTACAATGTTGCATAACCGCGCAATTGTCATTCAAAGTGCAACAGCGCTGAAAGCTGAAAATTGGCCTGGGCAGGAAGGGAGTATAAGTGCCCGGTAGGCAAGTGGTTAATCCTATGCATCGATATTCCTTGAAGAAAAAGAACATTTTGTAGTGGAGAAGAGGCATTGCCCAAAATACTTCTGGACTAAAGGTGAGTATTGCAGGCTGTGCCTTTTTTTTTCCAGTGTCTGAGAGACTTTTGGTACATGGGACACTATACAAAACAATCTATCTAAATATACAGGCAACAAGAGGAGTGATTGGTTGTTGTGGGCATAAAGCTGCTATTTTCCATGTGGTCAATATAGGATTTAACTCAAAGAGGACTGCACAAATGTCCATTGTCTGCTGTGAACACAGTCTCACTAGTTCAGCATGTTGGGAGTCCACAATTCTCAGCTGCCTCCATCCTGCATTATTTAATATAAGAATTGGTTTCAATTTGCCCAAGACAAAGATATAAAAGGCTTAATTTTTGGCTTGGACTAAGCAGTCAAAATAATCAATTCTGACCACAGATCCCACATGAAATGTATACTTACTTGTCAATGAGATCTATAGATGAACTGTGTATTAGTTTCACCTTTCCTCCGGGAATCAAACCTAAAAAATAAATAGAGTTTATGAAAATAAGCCTGCAAATCACACTGTTGTTTACTTTACTGTTGCATACTATTATATAATGCTGCTCAAAAGAGTAGCAATACATCTGCATGGACAGCTAGACAAACCAGATTACACCTAAGGAATCACTTCGGATACCTCACTAGTAATATTACATTGCCTGTAAGAATAAAAACATGCAGGATTTGGAATACAAGAGCACTGTAATTCTTTATAAAACATAACTGCTGCATCAAGATGTGTTGTGGCACCAAGCTCACAGCTTTTCTTTAAACAGCAATTCTGGCTTCTAATAATACTACCCATATTCCACAAAGGAAATTAAGTCTTATAACTATAAGGTTATATGCATCCTTAATTTTGTCATTAGTTGCATATCCATATCTTTCCAGTGCCTCTTCTAAAATGCACATTTAGATGTGCCAAGTTATTGTCCTTGACATGATAACTGATAAATGACGGACCTGTGAAAGCTTACTAAAGCCAGCCATGGATGGTGCAATTTTTTTCCTGCAACCATGGACTGCAGGAAAGAAAATCACTCAATTGTCCCATCAACACAGTCAGTGATGATGGGGAATACCTCCCGTGGAGCTATTGTGTTGTCCCTGCAATGGGAGCCGTGCTAGCCGGGAGAACATACAGTGATTATTGCTAGCGGCTATAGACGCTGACAATAATCGCATTAAAAATTGGACAGGCTGGTTTTACCCAAGTTGATTGATCAATCAACTAGGGTATAATCAGCCTGCGAAAACATTGTTCGAATCTCAGCTGGTCCCTGCTGAACCGCCTGAGATTTGAACTGTCTACGGCTGGCTTAACTTGTAACTAACAAGTGTATGTTTTGTTTTAAGAGTTAGAAGCTGTACTTGTGCTCTGTAGAAACCAACAAACTGGTCTCTGGAAGTGCCATAATCTGGAGTGTGCTGGTTGCTTGCTTACCACTATCAGAAGAAACAGAAAAAGGTGGAGGCCTCAATTTAAATGAGGGATTTCAAAAAATATTTATTATTTATTTCCATAGAAATGCATGGTAAATGTAATAATTTTTAGGTAAGTACTGACTGTCACATTAAAAATTTACCCAAATCACTCTGTGATCCAGCTAGGTCTACTTTTCGCAGTTCCACAACTACCTGTAATTAAAAATTTTTAGTAAATACATTTTAATGACAAAAAAATGAATGGCAATGTTTAATAAATACCAAGTTTGACAATACTTGGAAGGGAAGTGTACACTCTATTAGAACCTCTTTTATTAGAGATGCCTATTCAAAAAATAAAAAGTCACCTAAAGTATCTGGCATTATAAAATAAACTAAAGAAGCCAAGCAGTAAAAAAATAAATCATCGTCAACAGAGGAAAGGAATTGATATATATATCCCAATACAATATTACAGACCCTTCTCTAGCTTAGAGAACCAGTACTCTGGAAGCTGCACTAAAACATGGTCAAGTAGGGGACAAAGGGCTATTTATAAGTAATGGTTCTAGGTACCCTAAAGCTGATTCTTTGTTCATTGCTGATTTGCTAAGCCTTGTTCACACTGTGTGGAGGCAATGAAGAGGGCACACAGGAGTTGGAGGAAGCACAATGAATAAAGCAGCAGCAGGGATGCTGGTCTTCTGTTCCTCATGCACAAAAGAAGAACACTGTTCGGCATAGGGGTGACATCACCAATTTCCAATTGACTTCTCAAACTAGCATTTAGATGAACAGTGTCTTAGATAATCTGTACCTATCTGCAGTGTGAAGAGTGTCTGGGCACATGAAGTGCACTTGCATTTTCAAGCGGGAATGCAAGGCAAAAGGTACTTTTTTCAGGGTACTGTCTAGGCACAAATAACGTATCTGGATATTGCCTATAAGATAACAAATCTTCACATTTTGAGTTCAGGTCCACTTCAACTGACTCACACCAAAAGGAAAGAGGAATAGTGGTAGAGTGACAGAATATAGTGCTTAGGAAGAGCTAAACCTGGAGAAGAAGGAATTGTATCCTCACAGCTTCCCAAGAAAAACTGTGAACGATATATTTTGCATGCATCAACAGATTACAATTAAAATCAAAACTGACTAAATTACATAGTACATTAGCTGCACTTCAATTTTACAAACCAAGTCATATATTTGACACTCAACCTGCTTCATGAAACATATCTCAGTATACCACACATCTAACACAACTGTGCTTGGAAAATCAGCATAAACTTAAATACTGGAAAGTCTTGATGTATTCTATACACACATTTTCATGTGTTTTATCACTTTAAAACTTACCCAAACAATTAAATGACTATTTTCATCTAAAGATGCTAGTTGAAAAGACAAACCAGACAACTCTAAAAAAATAAAGAGAAAGTATTTAAGAAATAAAGCTACTTAAAGCAGACCTTCACCCCATTCACCCACGTTGCAGAACCTTACTCCTCCCCCTCCTTTACACCACTCGATCCCCAGGCCAATTCTGACATTTCTTACATACATATCTACATTTTTTCCTAGAAAATTACTTTGAAACCCCAAACATTATATATATTTTTTAAGCAGAAGCCCTGGAGAATAAAACATAGTTGTTGCTGCATTTTTTATGTCACACAATATTTGCGTAGCAGTTTATCAAATGCAAATTTTCAGGAAAAAAAAAAAACTTTAAAGAATTTTAGTAAACACAAACACAATATAACAACTACATTTTCTGGTAAAATAAAAACGATGATGTTATACCAAGTAAATAGATGCCAAACTTGTCACACTTTAAAATTGGCACGCCCATGGAATGGCAACAAACTATGGTACATTAAATTATACATAGGTGACGATTTAAAAAGCCTTTACAGGTTACCAGTTTAGTGTTACACAGGAAGTCTGGTGCTAGAGTTATTGCTCTGATGTTGGCAGTGATACCACACGTGTGGTGTGATCAACGTTTACATATGCAAGCGGGACCGACTTGCGTGGTTGCATTTGTGCGGAGGGGAGGTGCTGTTAACTTGAAATTCTTTTTATATTTTTTTAAATGTATTTTTTTTAAATTGTACCTTTATTTTTTTAAAGAACAAACAGGATCGTAACTAAAAACATCAGTCAATAACAATCGTGTGCAAACAGCACATAGTTAGAATAGAAAACGTTCAAATCAACTTATCAGAAGGTAAAAATAAAGCGTACTTTGTTGTGTTGGTTGGTTAGCCGGTACACGGAAAAGGGAGTCTGGCAGTAACACAACTACCAACACTAGTAAGAGTATAACATTATAGAAATACTAATATATTCCGAACTAAGAGATGTATAGGACGTCTCGCAGGTTGTAGGGCATCCCCGTGGGAGAGCCAAGAAACAGAAATCAAGAGAAGAAAGCAAGAAAGAGGAAAAAATGATAAAGGCAGAGTAAAAGGAATGGACATCTAGAACGTCTGAATTCTCCTTGAAGGGTTGAACGGATTAAAGGGAGGTAAAGCTGTTTGCTAAAATCTCAGGATGGGCATGCTGAATCCAAGGAGTCCAGATTTTGCGGAATCTCTCATGGGTGGAGAGAATACTGGACATTTTCTTGTTTAGTAAGAAAAAATCTAGCCAGCAATGGACTTCCGTAAAGGACACAAACAGCTGTTTCCAGGCTATCGCTATGGTTTGTTTAGCCGCCAGTAGTACATGGGTGGCCAATTTAAATAAGTGTTTAGATATGCCTGGTGGGTTTAAATGTAAGAGATTGTAACAGGGGTCTCTCAGAAAGGGGCAGGTGAGTAGTGACTGGAGCAGTTTAAGAACCTTGGACCAAAATCTGGAGAGCATGGGGCATGTCCACCATATGTGTGGAACATCACCCGATGCATTACAGCCTCTGAAACAAATATTAGGGGCGGATGGATGGAGTAAGGCTAAGTGGGAAGGGACAAGATACCATCTTGTCACCGTTTTGAAAGCTGATTCCATAATGAAGATATTAATGGAGCATGTGGTCAACGTTGACCATATCTGTGCCCAACTTGCACGATCTTTAGTGCTTTTAAGGTCCCTCTCCCATCTGGAAAAGTAAATGTGATTATTAGGATTCTGTAAGTTAGACAATTGTAAATATAGGATGGAAATAAGTTTGGGGGAAAGATGCATCCAATGGCATATGTGTTCAAACAAAGAGAATTGTGTGGTCGGGTCTTTGTCGGTGAGATTAATCCAGTGTTTAATCCGGAGATATCGGAAAAGTTCTGTAGAGGAGACTTGATGTTTTTCTGTTAATTCTGCCCATGTTTAAACTGATCGGGCCGTGAGAAAGGAATGAATACATCTGAAGTTGAGAGATCCACCAATGGAATGCGGTGGGGGATTTAAGGCCGGGTTGGAACAGGGCATTACCCATGATGGGTAGGAGTGGTAAATGTGGGGAGAACAGGCCGCTAGTGTATTTTGTAGAATCTCATACATGTAATGAGTGGGTCATTAGGGGGCTGGTGGATATGGGTCTAGATTTTGGGGGGAGCATTGGAGAAAAGGGAAACCGGGTGGCAAGAGAGTGCTTCTATGGTTACCCAAATGGGGGCTGTTGTGCTGCGTATATTGAAGTTAGGGGGGCGATTTGAGCCGCCACATAGTATTTGGGGAAATTAGGGGCTCCCAAGCCTGCCTCTGCTTCCTATGTGTGAGCATAGTATATTTGGTGATCCAAGATCTTTTACTTGCCCAAATAAAGCGTAAAATGTGATTTTGGAAAGATTTCAGGGCGTAGGAGGGGATTGGGACATGGAGAGTGCGAAATAAGTACAAACGTTTAGGGAGAATGGTCATTTTAACAGCATTTATTCTGCCCATCCACAAGAGAGGTTGGCGTGACCAGGTTATAAGCAGGGTTTTGAGGAAACGAAAACATTGAGATATAATTAGCCTCATAGAGGGTGTAGTACACTTTCGTAAGGTTATTCCCAAGGTATTCTAAGTGCACGTGGGTCCAAGTGAAGTTGTAATTTAGTTTTAATAAATTGACATCTGCCGTGGGAAGGGAAACATTAAGGGCCAAGGATTTATCTTCATTAACCCGAAATGTTGGAAAATTTGGATAGAATGGAAAAAAGGGCAGGTAAAGAGGTGTGTGGTTGAGTCAGAGTCAAAAGAAGATAGTTGGCAAATGCGCTAACTTTAAAGGTCTTATGAGTGAACTTGACTCCTTTGATGTCTGGAGCATTTCTTAAAAGCTGAAGTAAAGGTTCCAGGGCTAGAACAAAAAGTACTGGGGAGAGAGGGCATTCCTGGCGCATTCCTCTGTGAATAGGGAAGGTGGGGGATTGTCTGGAAAGGTAATGAACCATTGTGGAGGGACCGCGGTAAAGAGCTTTCACCCAGGATGTGAAGATGGGTGGAAACCACCATTTTTCTAGAGTGTAGTACATGTATTCCCAGGAAAGTGTGTTGAATGCTTTATGTATGTCTAAACTCAGAATCGTGCCAGGAGATTTGTGCTGTTGTAGCAGATGAATTAGATGGATAACCTTACGGATTTTATTTTTTTTTTCCAATCAACTTTATTGCTATCAATATGCATGAACAACATGCCTTGTGATAGCATGGGTCTTGATAGGTCCTCTTTATGGCCTGGCTTCCAAAGCATCCGATCGAACTGAACTCAATTTGATCAGCTGATATACAAGCCAGTAAAGGCTTGTAAATAAACAAACTGTAACCAGACGTTACACAGTGGGACACTGTACACTGACATCACACAGTGGGAGGAACAACGTCAGTTCTTCTCACTGTACGCAGGGAAGCCGATGCCACCAGTTGGATTGGTCCCAGGCTCCCCAGTGATCACTTTACAGGTGATGGAAGAGGGTCCCCACCATACAGCTGCTTGGATCACCTTTACATAAAACAGAATCACCAGCTGAAAAGATTGATGCCAGGATCATGGTTGTAGCTGCAAGAACCCGAAAGAGACAGCTGGCTCCCAATGACATTAACAAAGAAGATGGTGGCATAGGACATGGAGCTTGGCAAATCACAACAAAACAACCTTGGATTTGCATGCGAGTATGTTTATTGTGGAAAATGAAGAGGGGATTGAAAACAAAAACAGGAAGTGAAGTTCCTTTTTAGTTTCTTGTCTACCAAGGTATGTTTATAAACATTCTGGTATTCAGGAGGTTAAAACAAGCTCACAGCTGCTGCCATGAGTTTGGTATTGACTTTTATAGCCAACGATCAGCTTTCAAGTAAAAGTGATCTGGGCAGCTCTGGAGATGTCCAATCACATTCTGACAGGGCTCTGAAGAAATAAAGTAAGTTCTAGCAAAAAGGTCAGATTTTAAAGTGGAACTAAACTTGCCTTCGCTTCAGTGGTCCTGTCACAGTATCTTCTGCTGCGTGCTGGGCTTCAGCCAACTTCATTGGCCAGCGCAGGATGACATCACTCCTGCGCGTGTGCAGGAGTCAGTCATTCCAGCACACACAGACCGAGCTGACGGTGTAAGCTGAGCTGCGCATTTGCAGCTCAGTTTCCATGCTTGGAAGACAAAGAGCATGCATGTAAATTGCAAGTCTCTTCTACAATAAAGACCCTGCCTGATCACTACTTGTAACAGTGGACCTTTAGTTCCACTTTAACATGTGTGCAAAAAATATTTAGAGATACTCTGGTAGGAAATGGCTAAACAAAAACACTGAAGACTTTATGTTTGTTTTTCTATAGGTATGTCCCAACAGAAGCATTCTGAAAAATGAAATGGCTGCCTGTAAACAAACACTGTCATCAAGGAAACGTATAAATAGGACTTGTTTGGGGCTTAACAGAACCCCCCCTTAGCATGTCTGCTAAAAGAGTGACAGATTGTACAATATTGACAAAAAAAGATATATAATGTATTAACATCATCATGTGTACACGCACACAGGCACAAAAAAGTATGTGAACACCTTGGAATTAACTGGTTTTCTGCAGTAATTTGCTATAAAACGTGATCTGATCCTCATATAAGTCACAATAGACAAACACAATGCACTTAAGCTGATAACACAGAATTCTAATTTCTTGCATAATTATTGAATACACCCATTACACATTTACAGTGCTGAAGGAAAAAGTAAGTGAACCCTTAGAGATAATAACTGGTCGAACCACCTTTGCAGCAATGACTTCAAGCAAGAGCTTTCAGTAGCTCTGGATCAGACCTGCACAACGTTCAAGAGGAATTTCTCTTTACAAAACTGCTTCAGCTTAGTTGTACAATGTGTGGTGTGAAAGGCTTTCTTGATGTCATTCCACAAGTGTTAAAGGTTTATTTTTATCACTTAGCAAAATGGAAAGTAAATGAACAGAAGGGAAATCCAAATCAATTCAGTATTTGGTGTGACAACCCTTTGCCTTCAAAACAGCATCAATTCTTCTAGGAACACTTGCACACAGTTATTGAAGGAACTCGGCAGGTAAAGTGTTCCAAACATCATGGAGAACCACAGGTCTTCTGTGGGTGTAGGCAGCCTCAAATTTTCCTGTCTCTTCATGTAATTCCAGACAGATTCCATGATGTTGAGATCAGGGATCTGTGAGGGCCAAACCATCACTTCCAGGACTCCTTCTTTAGACTAAAGATAGTTCTTAATAACATTGGCAGTGTGTTTGGGGTTGTTGTCCTGCTGCAGAATACATTTGGGGACAATCACACACCTTCCTGATGGTATAGCATGATGGATAAGTATCTGCCTGTATTTCTCAGCATCGAGGACACATTGATCGTGACCAAATCTCCAACTCCATTTGCTGAAATGCAGCCCCAAACTTGCAAACTTGCAAGGAACCTGCAGCATGCTTTAGTGCAGCCTGAAGACACTCATTATTATACTACTCTCCAGCCCTTCGGCAAACAAACTGCTTCCTGCTACAGCCAAATATTTCATATTCTGACTCATCAGTCCAGAGCACCTGCTGCCATTTTCTGCACCACAGTTCCTATGTTTTTGTGGTATAATTGATTAATCATAAACTTAACTCTAATCCAGCAAAATCCTTGACTTTGTGCAAGTGTAATAATTTATGCTAATTTGAAGCCAAAGGGTAGTCACACCAAGTATCGATTTGATTTAGATTTTACTTCTGTTCGCTCATTTTGTTAATTGATAAAAAATAAACTATATACACACACACATATATTTAAAAGCTATCTTACCTTCTCTATCTATCTATCTATATATAAATTAGCGTAGGATACATTTAATGGTATGGTTTTCTACATTTGCACTTTGTTCAATCTAAATTCTAAGGAGAATCGCCATAGCTTTTAGAGTCCAGTCACTGTATGCTAATAACCATTAGAGTGTACCAGTGTGTTCCATTGTTGTTTCATGTTATATACTGAGAGTCATTAATTCTACCTTTTCTGCAGCTGGTATGACCAACATTAACCAGAGAAGGCAGAAAACTACTGTTTTGTTATAGAAGCACGCAATACTTTCTATTTTATAAGGTATATGTGTTTAATAGATCCTACATACCTTCTCCTTCAGAGGATAATGCAGATATCCCATGCTCCTTTGCTTCTACAGTAGGAACAGGTTCTATTGATTTTACCGGGTGTGTGTGATTCACATAACTAAAAACACCATCTGCAAGAACACAAACATCTATAGTCATAATCATCGAACGTTAGTGTTGAATGTCAACTTAAGTGTCAAATTACTGATAGTAAGAAAAAATGATATGTTCAATACAAAGTGGTGCTTACACAAGGCAGATAGTGAAGTGAATATTATGCGAAAACCTTTTTATGCTTCGGATACAGAAGGTAAGGGTTAAATCCCCGTTAAGTTATTTTTTGCTTTCTGTGTCCTGTTGGAGAGATCTCCTGTCACTTCCTGTAGCAGAGTTAGCAACAGAAGATGACAGTAAATCTCTCCAAAGGGAACAAAATCTTAGGTATCTTAGAGTTATCACAGAAAAAGATGCCCTTAATGGAGGTTTTCCCTTGCATGTTTTTATAATAGAAACTTAAAATTATTGGGTTTCCACTCACTATCAGTCTCTGTAGGAAAGGCCATTGGGACAAAACAGAGGGGTGAATTACCCACCTGGGTCACAGCAAAAAAACCCTACTACAGAGGATGTCCTCTTTCTTGTCCTGCCAAGTAGATGAGAGACAATCCAGAGGGGCAAAAAGGGGTAGATCAGGTTGAACTGATCCCACAGTGTCCACAACGTGCCCACTGCAAAGGCCCAAGGGTCCCCGGACCTGATGACAAACTTGTATAGTTAGTTTGTTGTTGAATCTGGATGCCAGCAGGTCCACACCCAACGTCCCCTACCTGTGGCAAAGAGCTTGAAAGCCCTCTATATAGGCAACCTTTTCCCCCTCATGTCCAGACACTGACAAATGTTAATGTACACCTGCCACTTTCTATGCCTGGTATGTGAATGGTGCACAGGTCTGGAATGTGATGTTCTGTCCAAGCGAGGATGTAGTCTGCTCTCTTTAGAGAGACACAACTGCTGGTGCCTCATTCATGACTGATGTAGGCAACAGCCAAGGCATTGGCAGTCTGGATTCTTGTTGGGTGATCTCACAATAAAGGAGTCCAGCATTGAAAAGACAACAGAATCATCAAGAGTTCCAGAATGTTGATTGGATGGCAAGCTTCTTCCATAGACCAAGTCCCCCAAACTACGAGGGGTTCTGCTCCAAAAGTCTGGCATCTGTTGTGAGAACTTTCCACAACTGTGAAGGACAGAGCATCCCCAACTCCAGCACTGATTTGAATGTTGAGTTTCAATGGTCTGCAATGAAACCGGGCATATGGTACAACTTCAAAGGAGACAACCATGTGACTTAAGACCCTCATGCAAGCACAAATTGAGGACTTCCTCTGGTCTTGGAAGACCCTAACAGGAGAATGAAGAGACATAAGTATTTCCTGAGGCAGAAAGATTTTGGACAGGGCCATTTCAGACCCAGTTAGTCCAATCTGTAAGATGGGTTCTGCAAGGACTTCTACAGGTTTAAGATTCAAATAAAGCCCACAGAGCCTATACTGTCTGTTGAATGTAGGCTGATTGGAACAGTAAGACTGGTCCTTTAAAAGATCATCCAGGTACCCCACAACAATTCCATGAGCATATTGTCAAACATTTGGCAAGCAACTTTGTGAAAACCCAGAGAGCAATGGATATGACAAGGAGCAGGACAATAAATTGGAATTGCTAGCCGCCAACTGTAAAATGTGAATAGCTTTGATGAGGCGGACATGTGGGTATGTGTAGGTAAGCATCACTGATTTCTATTGAGAACAGAAAATCCCCTAAACTTCCTAACCTCTGAAGTATAAGATCTAGTGGCTGAGACACAAGCCTTCTTCTGAGGAAGGAGGGTACTCTTAGCTTCTGTGATCTTACTGGTTGTACTTCTCTAAGAAGGGACCAAACAGGCATTCACCCTCAAAAGGTAACAGCTCAAGGCATTTCTTTCAGGAGACTTCTGCTGACCAGTATTTAAGCCAGAGAACCCTGTGCATGAGGACGAAGAGAAGGCTAGCAAAGTGCACCTGCCAAGCCATTCATGCAGTAGTGTAAAACTGTGTGCAAAAGATCTAACTGACTATGGACATAGGGGTGTGTAAGGATGGAATTGAGATTCTGGGCCATATGTGGTACAGACAATTGTATGACAGATTGTCATAAGCATAACCATATGATGTACAACAGTCTCCACCAAGGCAGAGACAGCTTTAAGGAAGGCCTTTAACCACTTTTGTACCAGGTCCTTAACATGGAATAATCCTCCATGGGGTCCATGAAGGTCTTTTAAAGAAAATAAAATTCCAGTTCCACCACAGAAATTACGCATTTTCTAAGGCAACTTTCATTAATAGGAAAAAAAAATCCCTCCAGGTGAGGCCAATACAGTACAGGCTCAACAAGCATGTAGACGAGGAAGGTTTTAGCTGATTCTGGGGTTTTAATGGACCCTGTACTGGATACCTTTAGATGATCAAACTCTAGCTGCTCTAATAGTAAACGAGTGCACAGCTTCAATAGCTTAGGAGAAACATCTATAGCAGGAGTGTCATCCTCATCCAGTTGTTCAGAAGGCGAGAGGGTCCTCCTCAGCATACACCGCTTCCTCTTGTACAGTGTTAGGTTCATGGGCAAAAACCGATTGAGGTGGGAAGGTCAAAGGGGCACAGCTGTTAAACCTGCTGTCTATGGCTTCAATAAAACTAGAAATTTTGCCCATGAACTTACTGTGGCAGAAAAATGACACAAACTTAAATTTTTAATCCTGGTCATCCACGATGCTACCACACCACTGAAAGGAAGGACAGTGATTCCAAAACACCCAAGGGGGAAAGCTGGACTGGAGATTTTTCCTCTGTACTCACATCAGTAACAGGAATTATTATGGAACTAATCTCATTCTGGCTTTGCCCCCACGATGGGCACAGACAGCAGTGGGCTCTGCACCAAGCAGACCATGGACCTGGACCCGTAAAGCACCCTGCATGTTGTACTATGTGGCAAGGGGGAGTATCCACAGCAGGATCCAGCACAAAGCAACATTACAGGTTGTAAAATTTAGAAAATTTTTCACTCATTTCCTCTTTTGTTTAAAGGACAGGAAATAAAGGCTAATATTTCCAACGGGCAAAGACAGCATTCACAAGCTACACTTTAAAGTAGAACTTTAGTTTAAAAAAATTTCTAACACTGTTCACTGACTATGGCACAAGTGCATTGCAAGGTACACCCCAGCTCATCCCCACATTCGTAACATGCTGAGAATGCAGCTGGGTGCCAAGGACAAGCAGGAGAGCCAGAAAATCATAGGAAGCTTCAAAGATGTTGGTGGATGGCACGGCAAGGACAGCTCTCATAGATGACAATGGGGAAAAACAGCAGGTAAATCTGTCATTACAGTTCCTCTTCAGGGTCCTTCTAAATAACAGAACGAAAGAGTACACTTGATGTCACTCTTTAATGTCCACTACTGGTATTTTTTTTTTTAGGTGGAATATTATGATGATATTGTAAACAAGTAACATCAAGCACAAAATAAATACCACTAACCAGTAGAAAATGTTACAGATCTGAACGTCCAGTTAACATCTTCTATCGTTAAACTCTGATGCATATTGAAGTCCTCTCGCAGGTCCCATACTAACACAGAACCATCTACTGTGCCAGCAAATACCAGAGATGCTCTACCGGGACTAAAACAACAGCATTTCACCTAGGTTAGAACAAAAGACAGTAAATTCAATTTTCAACGAAAAAACCTACAGTATTCCTGTATTTTTTTGGTTTTATTTTGGGGCTTGGTTCAATTGTAAGCACCGGGTGTTCAAATTTTTTTCTGTTTAGCTTTATTTAATGCTCTTCTATTAATAGTGCTATGCCAGAACAAAGGCAGACTGGAACAGTTCAATGGCAGTTACCGTAAATGCATTCGATTACTAAACCTGGGTATACACAGATCTTTTTTTTTTTTTTCATTCAGCCAGCAAACTTATGTATTCCCCCCATTCATACAAGCAAAGTGAATGGAGGCATCCTTCCTGCTGCGACACTGTGTCAGCAGGGACTCTACTCTGTCAGAAAACACTGATCAGTGGTTACAGCCGATTAAACGTTTTCCAGTGTGGCCGTTTGATAGAAGTTAACCTACCTATCAACTTCTTTTGAACAAGGAGGGCCACAAACAGACTGGAATTTGTACAGTCCCAGTGAACTGGCCGGATTTCAATTTTTCTGTACCCACCTTAAGAACCCATGATTACCTACAGTGCTTAGTGCAAATAGTCATAGTCATCCCCTTTTTTCACATTTTGCCATTTTACAACCTAGAATTAAAATTCATTAAAACTAAGATTTTTCAAATCTGAATTCTACAATATAATGAAAACTCTGAAGGTGCAAAATGTTTTTACTGATAATTTTTAAGTCTTTCTATGGATACCAAATTAGACTGAAGTATGGACTTGTCTGAGCCATTCTTTTACACTGCTAGGCCCCTTTCATACGAGGTGGACTCTGTTAAGATCAGCAAGGGATCTGTTTGCTGCTCACAGCAGAGCTGGCGGATGACAGGTTGGTGCCTGCTCCACTCTATGGGCGGCCGGAAGTAAACAGTCTCCGCTGTCTGTTAACACCTACCTGCACTCCTTTCCAATACACCTAGACAGAGGAGGACGAATCCCCTTCTGTTTTTTATTAGCAGACTGGACTGGAGGTAGGAGGGTGTAAACTGACAAATCTGTTTACACCAGCCGATGAAAAGGAGTGAATGGAGGGTCTGGTCAGGCCCACCTGAAAAACTGACAGGCGAACTTGATAGGACCTTTCATGTTAGACTGTTGGACTAGTTCTCAGATTACACTACTGCAGGGTAGCTTTGGCTAGAGTACATTCCTGCTGAAAGGTGAACTTCCGGCCTAGTCTTTGAACTCACACACAAACAATAAAAATGCCATACGGCATAAGACTAGCAGGAAATAAAGAGCATGATAACCTCAAATCACAAAGCCGCAGGAGCTATTTTACTTCTGGTAGTTATTTATCTCATGATCATTTTCACATAAAAAGACATTTAGTTCACAAAAATAAATATGGCACTAGTGTAAAATCATAATTTTCCCATATGAAATTAACATATACCTGCTGAAAGTCTTATTATCCCATGAGTTGCTATTTTCTGTCAGCAAAGGGCCTGTTTACATTTACATGTTATGGGAACATATGGTAAAACACAAGCCCCAAAGTGTTACCTTTTGGCTCTATTTTTCCTGCTTTACTCAATATGCACCCCATTTAAATTCACAATTATCTCCAGCCCGAAGCTAGTGGTATTTTAATGAGTAAAAACCTGCATGATATTCCTTGTAAATAGTTTTTAACAGCAAAATTACTAAATTCATCAGATGTGCATAGTAATGTATTTAGTGATGTGAACAGAAAAAAAATCAGATTGTTAAAATAATAAACTAACACACACAGCAATAAAAAATATTAATGTGTTAAGCTATTGAAAGTGAACGGAGTTAAGTGAGGTGACTATAGGAAAAGCCCTTGAAAAGTCTCCCAAACCGTAACAGAGAGGTGAGTGATGGATTTCCATACCTCGGACTCACACATGAGAATGTTCTGTGGAGAAGACGGCTGCCATATATTCCAAACACAGATAAGATACTTGTCAGTCAAAAATGCAGATATGGATTTGTTGCTCAGACCATGCACAGTAAGTAACAAATGTCTCTGTGTCTCAGAGAACTGCAAGTGATAAATCTTCGCCCTACAAAGATATACAGAAAATACACCCAAGGTATTAAATACCACAACCACGAACCCTCTCTGAATATTAGTTATTACAAACTAATGAACATATGTCACAATAAATACATATTTAATTTATATATAATTATGACCCACTGAAACTTAATTAAACAAATCCCTATTAAACTTATATAGACTTAGATACAATATACCGTATATACTCGAGTATAAGCCGAGTTTTTTCAGCACATTTTTTGTGCTGAAAAACGGCCCCCTCGGCTTATACTCGAGTCAACGTCTGCAGATGACATGCCGTCCCTGTCATCTGGACACACCCCCGGGATCAATCCTCGCCAGTGATTGGCCGCCGGAACTGTAGCTCAGGAGAGGCACACAGGCACCCAATCACCGGCAAGGAGGTGGAGCTTGGAGAGGAGGAGCCGAGCGGCACCGCGAAGATCGAGCGAGTGAAGAGGAGGAGAGCGGCCGGAGAAGGAAGACATCTGACTGGTAAGTGTGTACCATGGGAGAGGGAGGGAGCGAGCGAGCCCAGGCTGAGCAGGGGTCAGCAAGGTAAGTATCATTGGTGTCAGTGGGAGGAATAGTGCCCAATCATTGGTGTCACTAATACCAACGATGGGGCACTATTCCTCCCCCCACTGACACCAACGATGGGCACTATTCCTCCCCCACTGACACCAACAATGGGGCACTATTCCTCCCCCCACTGACACCAACGATGGAGCACTATTCCTCCCCCCACTGACACCAACGATGGGGCACTATTCCTCCCCCCACTGACACCAACGATGGGGCACTATTCCTCCCCCCACTGACACCAACGATGGGGCACTATTCCTCCCCCCACTGACACAAACGATGGGGCACTATTCCTCCCCCCACTGACACCAACGATGGGGCACTATTCCTCCCCCCACTGACACCAACGACTATTCCACTGACACCAACGATGGGGCACTATTCCTCCCCCCTCGGTTTATACTTGAGTCAATAGTTTTTTCCCAGTTTTTTGTGGTAAAAATTAGGTACCTCGGCTTATATTCGGGTCGGCTTATACTCGAGTATATACGGTAAGCAAGCAAACAAAGGTTTAAAACCTTAGCAGTTAGTAATGCGAGTCCTATATATAATAACAAGTACAAATCTAGAGCTCCAAAATAAATATTTGCCCTGTAGACTAAAACACATGGATGCTGGATGAAGAAGAGCATTTGTGCTTGTGTATTGTGCTCTTCTAGGTGGTGTTGATGTGGGGGCAATAGGGGAGCACAAGAAGTGAGCAAAGAATCCAATGGCAGAGTGGACTAATTCTGCAGTCCACATTTATTTTTTTAACATGATAAGGCACTATGTAAAGCACATGCTTTGCTAAGCAGTTGCATTATTGCAGAACTCTGAAATTGAGAGTGGGAAAGGTTAGAACCTCTGTCTTGTATTTGTTGTGGTATATATCCTTAACGGAAACAATTCAGCGACTCATCAGAAAGTAAGAAATTCTACAATTGGAACACAGACAAAAAAACCTGATAGAGGTATTAATTCTTAGCCACTCTACTAATAAAATTGCTATTACTCACATCTTCTATTTGAAAAATCCTCCTTACATTCTTTTACAAGCATTATATTAGGTTTTACAGTAAAATGTACAAAGAATCAGTTAAATCAACTGTACCATACAAATCACTCCAGTCGAAGTACAAAGCAACTGAAAGGTTGAGAGATGCTAATGAACCAGTTAACTATTGCCATATTACAAATAGAGCTTCAACCAGTTAATGAGGAAAAAAGGAGCATTTTAAAGAAGGGTGTGCAGTACATGTGGGAACTGGCACAGCCCAAGAGAATGCCAGAAACTAAAGATGGGAGGGAGGACATTAAATATATATATGTAGGCCCACCCAGGGCATAGGTAAATACAAGCATTCTAAATACTTAGAAGATCTAGATTTAGTCCAGTAGACCATAGGTAGTCAAATCCAGGGCAACCAAACCCAAAGAGATATTTCATAAAAAACGGCTAAGATAGCCGTAAGTTTTCATTAGGAATCGTCCTTTCTATGTATGTCTATGTATGTCCATTGTACAACAATCAGTTAAACGAAATCTCCCCAACTGGGACACAAACATTAAAAATTAGCATATAGGGATACTAACTATGCCCTAGTATATGCTCAATAAAAATTTCTTAAAATGTTGGGCCGAATTAAAATTATGTACCTACCTAAATTTAATTATTTTTTCTGACACTGTCCTGTTTGGGTCCCCTCTTCCTTTTTTAATGATCTGGAAAAATGTGTGAGTTCCTTTATTTAGCAAGGTTCCCTCCCTCGGTTGGCGAAGACTACCCTCTGGCGTTTTCCTCATCTGGTCAGCCTAGCTCTGTCCAATTTTCGAGTCTATTTTTGGGCAGCAGTTCTAGTTTTGGTTTACTGGTGGTGTGCAAGCTCTAAATGTAATGCTGCTGTGTGTTTGGAGGCGGCCTTCCTGGGCTCCTTGTCAGACTTACATAATATTATATGTACAGAGAGCCGAGGGAGTATGAGGGGGTACCTGTGCCAAGGCGTACCACGTGGAGGGTGTGGGTGGCTGCATGGTGCCGTTTATGATCCCAGGCCAATGGTCCCCAGCTCAAACGTTTTGGGGCAACCCTTCTCTCCCTCAGTTTCTCACCATTCCAAAACCCCCAAGTCTGGGCATGGTATGGTGTTAAAACCCTGTCTGATGTTATGCCCCAGGGGACCCTCTTGCCTTTTCAACAATTCTCCGCCACCTTTGGATTACCGGCTCACATGCTATTCAGATACCTTCAACTACGGCACGCTGCGAGGGTCCAATTCCCCCAGATGCCTATCCTCCAGGATGACCCAATCGAGGAACTATTGGTTCCAGGCGACTTGTTGAAATGCCTCTCGATCCTATATGGAGTGCTCCTCAACATTAACTCCCCGAAACTTGAGCATATGTGAGAACAGTGGAGGGGAGATGTTCCAACGTTACATAAGGAGACCTGGGAGGAAAGTCTGGAACGGGGTCCTAAATTGGTCATTTCCTCGAGGGACAAACTGATTCACGTAACATTTTTCCGTAGAATCTATTATACTACTCTGAGACTACATAAAATATACCATGACCGAGACCCTATTTGTCCCTGTTGTCACGTATACCCAGAGACCTTTATTCATATGTTTTGGTCATGCCCAGTGATTACGACCTATTGATCTGAGGTTTTTGCTAAGATTAATGTTCGGTTACAGTTGTCACTACCTTCATCTCCGGAGCTGGCCCTACTGGGTATCCATGAGGATGACCAGCAATCACACCATGCTAAACTACTGATTTCCTATTTATTATTTTATGCTAAAAAAGAGATACTGCTTAAATGGACCTCAGTTCCTCCGGTTAGGTTGGCCTGGGAAGCTCTGGTGGATGCGGCTCTGCCGATGTATAAGCTTACCTATATTAACCAGGGTTGTCCTTTTGTAAGTATGATAAAGTGTGGGTTCCTTGAATGTCTCATCAGTGATTCCCCCCCCCCCCTGTACCCTTTTGTAGGGATTGGTTTACTGATGCATGTGGATGAGGAGCACCAGGTGGACTGTATTATTGTTGTACTGCTTCGGGTGTTTTTTTTTTCCTTCCCATTTCCCCACCCCTTCTCTCTCTCCTCCTTACAGTCTCTATCTCTGTCCCTTTCCTCTCCCACCACTACCTCTTTCCCTCCCTCCTCTTGCTGTACTTCTTTCTCCACTATAACTATGTGGGATTGCATATGGCGGGTTCTACTTTTGTTTATCCAGGCACCATACCACACGAGTGGACGTTTGTTGTTTGCGGTTCTCTTTTTTTATCTGATGATTGCTTTGACATTGTACAATGTTGTTCTCTGTTTTAATGCTGTCATGTGTATTTGGGGTTAATAAAGCACCCCGTTTTGTAAAAAAAAAAACAAAACATGTCAGCTTGATTCAAAAAGTGTTGTATGTCTTCCTTTTGACAAGGCAGGGAGACATGTATGTCTGCTGTTTGTACTGAGACCTCCTCTCACATAGCGCTCAGAAGTCTTTAGCTGTGAACTTCTCTCAGGAATAGAAATTTTCTGCTAGAGCTGGGGAATTACTGTCAGTATTCAGAGCATTGTATAAATCCCTGTACACCCATACCACTCGACACTCAAAAACTGCATTTCTCATCCTGTCATAGACTTTAAAGGATAAGTCCACCTTGGGAACATATTATGTTTCACCCGTTGTTAGGGTGGAACATGTACATGTTCCCATAGCCGCAGCTGCCGCCTGCCGCCCCCCTCCCTCTAACAGATAGTACGGGGAAACTCCCTGTATTATCTGTCAGATTTGAAAACAGCGTTCCCATGCGTGGGCTCTGCCATATGGCCGTGTCACTCATTCACAGAGTTCTGTGAATGAGTGCCTACAAGTCCCAGCAGCTTTAGTCGGCTTGTTGTTTTCAATTAACTACCACGGCGCTGTGGGGCGCCATGGTTGTTTATTGAAGCTTCCTGTCAGAATATCTTCTCGACCATACATCCCATATGGCAAGCAGATATTCTGACAGTGCACATTTTTTTACCTTCAAAAAAATGTGCTTTTATTATTTTTGTCCAGCAGGGAACTTATCCTTTAACAATCTGCTGGCAGCATGCTGTACACTACACCCGTAACTCCCCAAAGGCAGAGAATTAAGCCTGAATGTATGCCGTACGGCCCTCTTGTGGATGTGATGTACACTAAAGTATAAACAATAACACAAGCACTTCCTTTTTTACACCAAGATGATTTGAAGAAACTATAATTAGGCTTTAAATAGGAGCAAGAATAAATAGATTCATGTGTTACCTTGAAGAAATGTCAGGCTGGTATTTAAATGGAAGCAGCCCTCACTGATGGACATGCAGGGCTCTTTAGAGTGAACTTTGCTTCGAGACTGGTACTCTGAACGATTCTCTTCAAGCAAGACAGCCATGACCTTTCAAGACACAACAGACACTTCAC